CATCCATTGAAGGCTCGCGACTGTCGACTGTGACATCTTTCGAGGGCAACTCCCATGATGGCTTCGGTGCATTTTGCTTGGATGTTAGGACTTTAACTTTTTGCCAACTAATGGGTTTTCCATTCAACCACTAAAATGTAAACTTTTAGCAGGGGAGCAGAAAGCAACCGCGCTATGAAAGTCACATCTAAGGAATCAAAGTTCTGATCGTCTCGCCGGGTTTCTCGAAACTACTTCAGAGGGATGGTTTTCCCAGCGGATAGTTCTACCCTTCTAAGCTTGAATTTAACGCTTAGCTTCGGGCTCGCTGCCCATCGGCTCCGGAGCCGCTCGTGGGGTTGGCGTTTTGATTTTTGTTTGGTTTTTCTTTTGCCGGTCTTTCGAGGGTACCTGCCCGTTCGGGTTTGAGGAGTGGGTGTGGGGGGCAGCCCTCCGTTTCACCACCAAACCGCCAATCTAAACCAGCAATTGGAGAGAAGCTGACTATTGAACACATGCTGCTTCTGTTGGTAGAACCCGTGGCAACTTCACGGGGTGCCTTAGGTTGTGGTGAAAAGGGTGTGAGCTTCGATCGGATCAACCACTAGCTCCCCCAGTAGTGCCCTTTTACCCTTTTTTGGGGGAGGGTTCCCCTACTAAAATAGACTACAGAAAAAGGGGTACCCTTATTCTATCCTCTCTACTGGAGGACCTAGACCATGTTTGAGGTTCCAACCCTGAAAGTAGTCATGGCCAAAAGGGCTATGGGACTCCACCTAAAAGCACGGCTTTCGTTGGTCCTCTGAAGAAACGGCACCCTCGGACGTTCGCAGTCAGTGCGAGTGCCGTTTATCGTATTTTGGCTCGGGGCCTTCGTCAGTTTCAGCCTTGGTCGCAAATACAAACATGCGAAGGTCTGTGGGAGTGCGATGCGTTGATTGAGCTTGATCATATGTTTGTCTATTTGGCTGTGGGTCAAAACCAATGGTACCATTTTGGGGTAGGTGCACCACCCATTCCAGTCTATTTTAGTGGGGATTGGGATGTTCACTGAGGGTACGGGCTTTTGACCCATGGCCATTTGTCTCGTGTGCGTTCAACCTGCGTTTTTTTTGAGGCGGGTGTTGTGCTCTCGTACTGCGCCGGCCATAGTATCTTGAGGCAAATTCTTCGAGGTATGCCTGAATGTTGACCCCATGGTTATCAACCAACCACTTCAAAAAAGGGGGTGATTCTCCATTTCTGGGTGAACAGTTGTTGGGATCAGACCACTTTTGGAGGGGCCAAAACCATTATTAGTAAGCCCCACTTGGAATCGAGAACTTGTTCCATGAAGCTGGCAAAGCAAGATCATCCATGAAGGTACCTTCAGGGATTCCTCAATCAGTTTTATTGTACGTCTTCAGGCAGATCTTGCACTATTCAGCCGACCAAAAAGCCGGCTTCGACTAAACGGGTGATCGCGTGCACCCAAGGAGAATCGCATCCAAAAGGAACCCAATTCCGATAGAACCCTTTGAACGGGTCGCCCGAACTATGGTATTGGTGAAGATTGAGGTAACCCCAAACCTTTGTAAGCATCCTTTTGGCCATAGCTGGCTCTTCTCGGCGTTTGCATCTTTTTGAGTGAAGAAGCCTTTACAGTTCGAACCTCATCGGATCAGAAGAGAAGTGCCGTCCGAACAATGGTCTGAAGATTGAGGTAACCCCAAACCTTTGGCATCCTTTTGGCCATAGCTGGCTCTTGGTGTTTCCTTTATTTTCAATTCAAGAACCCGTTAAGGTTCGAACCTCATCGCATCACTTCAGAGACGTGCCGGCATCGCGTGCGCCCAAGGTATGGCATCATGATGAAGCGCCAGGAGTTCCGCGAGAAGGCGGAGGAGATCGGCTTCGTCAAGTACCGCTGAGTGAAGTTTCCTCCGGCTCGCTGAGCCTCTGAGACCCGACTGAGACGCTGACTCCCTGAGGAACGAACAAAAAAACGGCGCGGGTATTCGAATGCGAATGAGCCGGCCGGGGTGTGGAATTTGGTGGCAAAAACGGGAGACTGGAATTCCAGCTGAAATGGGGGTTTGGAGGGTTTTCAAGGGAAACCAGAAGGAAGAGCTGCGCTGATAACTTGCTGGCAGAACTTCCGTTCCTGCTCGGTACTGAGAGCGCAGCAGAGTCAATGACCATGACCAGCATTCGGGAAGGTAGCTCCTTCAAACAAACGAAACTAGGTGTTAAACAAACTAGACGACGAGTGGCCCGGAAGCATAGAGGCAAGTTGATGCAGGTGAGGTAACTCTCGCAAAGTTAGCATGAGGAGTTGGCAGGCGAAGCAATTCTCAAAAAGTTGGCATGAGAAGCTGGCAGGTTAAGTAACTCTCGAATAGTTGGCTGGCAAAGTTGGCGGGTGAAGTAATTCTCGCAAAGTTGACATGAGAAGTTGGCAGGCGAAGTAACTCAAGAGAAAAGTTGGCATGAGAAGTTGGCAGGTGAAATAACTCTCAAAGAGTTGGCATGAGAAGTTGGCAGGTGAAGTAACTCTCGAAAAGTTGGCGTGAGAAGCTGGCAGGTGAAGTAATTCTCGAAAAGTTGGCACGAGAAGATGGCGCGTGAAGTAACTCTCGAAAAGTTGGCGTGAGAAGCCGGCAGGTGAAGTAACTTTCGAAAAGTTAGCATGAGAAGTTGGCAGGCGAAGTAATTCTCGAAAAGTTGGCGCGAGAAGTTGGCAGGCGAAGTAACTCTCGAAAAGTTGGCAGGCGATGTTGGCAGGTGAAGTACCTCTCGAAAAGTTGGCATGAGAAGCTGGCAGGTGAAGTAATTTTTCGAAAAGTTGCCACGAGAGGTTGGCAGATAAAGTATTTCTCGAAAAGTTGGCATGAGAAGTTGGCAGGTGAAGTAATTCTCGAAAAGTTGGCAGGTGAAGTTGCCACGAGAGGTTGGCAGGTAAAGTATTTCTCGAAAAGTTGGCATGAGAAGTTGGCAGGTAAAGTAATTCTCGAAAAGTTGGCATGAGAAGCTCGCAGGTGTAGTAACTCTCGAAAAGTTGGCATGATAAGCTCGCAGGTGAAGTAACTCCTCGAAAAGTTGGCACGAGAAGTTGGCAGGTGAAGTAACTCTCGAAAAGGTGGCATGAGAAGCTGGCAGGTGAAGTAATTCTCGAAGTTTCGGCATGAGAAACTGGCAGGTGAAGTAATTAACCCTCAAAAAGCTGGAGCGGCGGAGGCGCTCCGCGTGCTACATTTGCAATTTACAGTTGCGATTTTCCAGCCATTTGTATCTAAAAGTTGCGATTTTCCAGCCGGAGCTGCGGGAGCACGCTCCGCGTACTACGTCTGTACTTAAAAAGTGCGATTTTCCAGCCGGAGCTGCAGCAGCCTCCGCGTACTACGTCTGTACTTAAAAGTTGCGATTTTCCAGCCGGAGCTGCAGGAGCACGCTCCGCGTACTACGTTTGTACTTAAAAGCTGCGATTTTCAAGCCGGAGCTGCCGCGGACCAGGGGGGAATCGAACCCGGGACCGCGGGATTGCGAAAGCAGGCGCGCACACCACGAGACAACTTCCAAAAGCCGTTTCGCGAGCAAGAAAATCGCACGGCGCCACAGCGAGAGCGCTTCGACACGCACGATCTCCGCAGAATCGGACGCGCACGGCGCCACAGCGAGAGCGATCCGACACGCACGATCCCCGCAGAGGGTTCATCGGGCTCAAGACAAATTCGCACGGCGCCACAGCGAGAGCGCTTCGACACGCAGGATCTCCGCAGAGGGTTCGCCAAGGTCAAGACAAATTCGCACGGCGCCACAGCGAGAGCGCTTCGACACGCACGATCTCCGCAGAGGGTTCGCCAAGGTCAAGACAAATTCGCACGGCGCCACAGCGAGAGCGCTTCGACACGCACGATCTCCGCAGAGGGTTCGCCAAGGTCAAGACAAATTCGCACGGCGCCACAGCGAGAGCGCTTCGACACGCACGATCTCCGCAGAGGGTTCGCCGCGCTCAAGACAAATTCGCACGGCGCCACAGCGAGAGCGCTTCGACACGCACGATCTCCGCAGAGGGTTCGCCGGGCTCAAGACAAATTCGCACGGCGCCACAGCGAGAGCGCTTCGACACGCACGATCTCCGCAGAGGGGTGCGTTTCGTAAGCTCCCGTCGGGCCTACCCCCGCCATAAAAAGAAGAAGAATTAAGAGTCGAGATGTGAAGGTAGAACAGAAAAGTTAGCTTGTGTTTTTAGGATAGTGAAGTAACACCCGACAAATTAGCTTGTGCTTTTAGTAGAATGAGATAACAGCCGAAAAGTTGACATGAGAAGTTGGCAGGTGAAGTAACTCTCAAAAAGTTGACATGAGAAGTAGGCAGGTGAAGTAACTCTCGACAAGTTGGCATGAGAAGTTGGCAGGTGAAGTAACTCTCGACAAGTTGGCATGAGAAGTTGGCAGGTGAAGTAACTCTCGACAAGTTGGCATGAGAAGTTGGCAGGTGAAGTTGGCAGCCGCTTTTAGAAGAAGAACCCTTCGCAATGCTTCCGGGAAAAACAATATGCGGCAAAGTGGCAGCGTGTCAGATAAGCAAATTGGACTGCGCAGCCGCGTAGAGAGATAGCGGAGAAGTCACATGGCGTGTGGGGCTGGACTAGCTTGTTCCACAGGTTGGCCTCGACAGGCCGTGTTCTTTCCATCCCCCCCCCTTCCCTCCCTCCCCCCCTCGACAACCGCAAACACGCTGCGCGGGGCAGCATGATATCTCCGGGCAAGCCCCCCCGTCAACCCAACTTGTTGCGTGTGTGTGGCCTGTAGAGCACAACTGCACGCTTGAGAAGCCAGGTTCAACCTGGAAAGAGGGCCAAAGAAGGTAAGTCTGGCCATGTTCTCAATGCTTTTGCTGTTGCTGGTTTTGTATTTGGAACCCCTCCCTCGTGTGCCACCTGGTCACGGGTCTGGTACATTCGAATGCGCGCCGATGGCCAAAAAAGGCCTTTTGCCAGAGCGGCCTTCCTTTCGTATGGAGCAGTCTGGCCCCGCTTTTCTTTTCGGCTCCGAGCGGAACCAGTTTGCTGCCGAGAACGCGAAGTCGACTCAAAGAGCCATGGCCATTGTTGAGAAGATGCAAGAGCTGAGCCTGAAAGAGCCTGAGGCCTGCGATGTGCCTTTTTCCTTGCCTGCTTGTGTGTTTGCTTGCGTGCGTGCGTGCGTGCGTGCTTGCTTGCTTGCTTGCTTGCTTGCTTCATTGTCGCTTTCTTGTATGCTCGCTTGTTCTGCTTGCCTTTGATTCTTTTTTGCTTTTGCTTGCTTTGCTTCCTTTTGCTTGCTTTGCTTTGCTTTGCTTTGCTTCGCTTCGCTTCGCTTCGCTTCGCGTTGCTTTTGCTTTTGCTTTTGCTTTTGCTTTTGCTTTGCTTTTGTTTGCTTGCTTGCTTGCTTGCTTCATTGCGCTTCATTGCTTGCTGGAACTTTTGTGTCCTTTTCCAGGGCTGGGCTCCCCTGTAAACCAACCAAAAGGGGGCTAGCCTCAAAAAAGCAACGAAAAGCGTCGGATCTTTTCCCGTCCAGGCCCAGACGCGCCTGGTGCAGTTCAAGGTGTCGGGCCTGGAGGCTTTTCAGCTGGAGCTGGATGCCGAGAGCCGCGTGCGCCCGGAAACCCAGGGACCCCAGGGCCCCACTGCCCCACAGGCCCCAGGGCCCAGTGCGTTCCTCAAGGGATACGAATCCAAAAACCGCAAAGTTGCCAGGGTCCTCTAAGCTTTTGGTGGTTCAGGTTTTAGAGTTCTTTTTTTGGTTTAGTGGTTGGGTTTCCAGTTAACCCACAAGTTAAGCTGCAGGGGATCAGTTTGGACAGCCCAGTTAAGGGATAGATCCAAGAACTGGTAAAAGTGGTTCTGACTAGACCAGATGTATCCCTGAGACGTAGATAAAGAGGTGGGAGCTGCGGGCCTGAGGCCGCAACTTATTCCAGGGTCTTTGATGATGCTCTTGGGGGTCTAAACCACGAGCCAGGGCGGAGCTTCGCACTTCTTTGCTGCATGTAAGCTGCATGCTGAGTCTCCCAGGTGACGTGAAGAAGCTGGCCAAGGAAGAGTGCAACATCGAGCCGGAGCACATGCGCTTCATCTACAACAGCCGACAGCTCAAGGATTGGGACACCCTGGAGTGCTATGATCCCAAGGCGCGCATACCTTGCTGAGATGGTCGCACAGTTTTACCGTTTTCCCTGAACCCAGCTGGCCAATTACTCACTCCCCGGTTAAACTTGACTTGGGAAGATCAAACTTCAGGCGAAAAGTCCAAACCTTTGGAGACCAATCAACTCAATGGAGTTCAGTTTGGCGATTGGGGAAAATACGCCTGTGGGGAGGCTGACACCCCAGTGCAGATCCTCTTCACAGCGGGGCACACAGAGCTGCTGGGAGGCGCGAAGCGCTTACGTTTTTGGCTTGTGCTCAGTTTCCCTCGCCAGCGGGACATTTTTTTGTGGGGGTCGAGGCTCGGATCGGGGGTCGAGGCTCGGATCGGGGCCAACACGACATGAGACATGCAGAAAGTACTCCTAGTGAGATGGGCGCCTGAGCAACTTGCCCTTGACCGGCGGTTGGCTTTCGCCTTCCCGTGGGTTTGGTTCCTTTCTGTGCCTGAAAGGGTGCCCTGAAACAGATAAACCCGGTTTGGCAAATGTAACGTGTAACATATCGTTTCAGTCGCAGTCGCAGTCGCACGGGCGCAGACAGGCGAAGGTGACTCTTTTTGAAGAGAACTTTCCTCTTGAAGGAGCTACCCGAGAACTTCTAGGTTAGCCTCAGGGGGGGTATTTGTGGAAAATCACCATCTCATGCCGCTTGAGTTCACTTGGCACAGAGCGTGGCCCTGAAACCTGCTCTTCTGCCGCCATGATCCTGTACAGAGCAGAAAGTGCTTCTCAACTATCTGGAAAAAAACGTATTTGTCGGAAGCCTGAAAGTGCCAAAGGCGGCTGATACCCAAGATACTCGACTCATATCCACCACGCACGTTCCCTTAACCGCAAGGCTTTGGCACAGGTGGAACTCGAAGCCCTTCTTTTGGAGTGTAAAGCCTCAATGGTTCTTGAAGGGACCCGTTCTCATCAGGGCACCTACTCCCATATTAGTTTTGCTGTGCATTCAAACATCTGGAACCTGGCAAACAGACAGAGACAGACAGCAGAGCACAGATCGCAACTCTCCTGCGCTTTGAGTCTCCATCCAGGTCACAAAGCTGTTTCTAACCCCCCCCCCCCCCGCAGCCCCGCCTCCCCCCCACCGGCGACAATGCGGACATGCGACCGGGCGCGGCAATGCGCCAATTCTCCGGCCAGGTGTGGGTGGCACGGGCGGCGGCCCCCGCCAGGGCCACGGCTCCAAGCCCCAGAAGAACCCCTTCAGCGGCCCCGTGCGCGGGCTCCCCGGCTCCAAGGCGCGAAGATCCGACAGTCTCGGGACCCGAAGCCCGAAGCTGGCCCATGACTTGAAGACCTGGGTCTTGTTTTGTGCAACTAGGGCCCCCAGTGCCCGTTTAATATTTTTGTGGGGGAGGGTTCCCCTACCAAAATAGACTACAGAAAAAAAGGGGATGACAGGGCGCACTGATTCTAACCTCTCTACTGGAGGACCTAGGCTGTGGTAAGTGGAAACATGGTTTGGGACTGAAGCATCGGAAGCCGAGCATTGACATATTGCAGCGGATCGAATCGCTCATGCAGAAACCTGGGCTTGCAGAATTGGTTCAATCACCAACACAGCCAGCCAACTCGAAGCGCCAGCCGCGCGTTCCAAAACCGCTGGATCCAGGGCCTCCGCAGCAGCCGGGTGTCCGGGCGACCGGGTGGCATGGCCTTGATCCGCAAGCCCTTCGGCCTGAAGCGAGTTCCAAGGGGGGAGCACTGATTTGTTATTTGCTTAAGGTAGGGCCCCTTTTTCTCCAAGCGTGGGTGTCAGAGGTAGACTACGTAGTGAAAGATTCAATTGAAAAATGACAGATTCAATTGCCAGAAAACGCACTACGTCCATTTGCTTAAGGATAGCTTTGATTTCCTTTTTTGTGTTGAGGGATAGTATCAATTCTGAACATATTGACATTTGTTTTGTCCGGGGGGCGAATTTTCGGCGAAAAAGCAATGGAAGTGATGGTTGACGAAGCGAAACCACGGTTGAAACCGGTGTTTGGTGGTAGAAACCATTATGCGGGGCAAGTGTCAAGTGTTGCACCCCAAGCTCCAAACAGGACTGGGTGTTTTGTGGCTTCGGTCTGTGTGAACGAGTCGGACCTGTTGTGTTCGAGTGGGGGTTTGGGTCACCATCCGAAAAAGGCAGGAAGTAAGGCTCATGAGTCTAATGGTGCCCCCAACTGTGAAAGTGCGTTGGCGTGTGCCGTGTGCCGTGTGCCGTGTGCCGTGTGCGTGTGCGTGTGTGTTTGTTTGAGTGCTTGTGTGTCTTGTGATATGACTCATATGAGGGGCTAAATAATTACAAACTGTCTTCTCCCATGATTATGACCATATTTTGTCCCCACAACCCCATTCAATTTGTTAAAGCCCTTATATAGCATCTACTCCTTGCACCCTGTGGTTCAACCGTTTCCCATTAAAATAATGGCAAGAACCCAACTTGGATGATGCACATCCTTAGGCAAATATTGGCGGTTTTATTCACCCAACCATTGTTTTAATGGTAAATGAACCCCAGGGTATCGCGTCGAGGGGTAAAAGGTTTGATGAGGATTGCAAAGAGGCCTCAAAAAGTTTCTTGTAAACATCCTGTTGGCCATAGGTGGTTCTACTTGGTGAATTATGGCAGGTGAAAAGACGGACGAGTGCCGTCGCGTGCACCGGCCAAGGTATGGCATCATGATGAAGCGCCAGGAGTTCCGCGAGAAGGCGGAGGAGATCGGCTTTGTGAAGTATCGCTGAGCGAAGTTTCGGCTCTGGATGACGTGGTGAGTAGTGCTTTAGACAGCGACGGACAGCGCAGTTGGATGTTCCTGCAGCAAAAATCGACGCAAGGTTGTGTGGCTCAGGGTCCCGAAACTCGCGACACGGAGGGCTTGAAGTTTCGAGTTCTTTCAGGCATCACTCGTTCGATCAGAGCCCAACTGATGATCGTTGACAGTTTCAGTTGTCGTGGGACGGGGGGGCCCGGGCATCCAAATTCCGTCTACTGAAGCAGCGTCAGGGTGGGACCCCTGCGTGGCTCCAAATTGGATCGGGTTTGCTAACTCAAAAAAGGGCGTGTGAGTGTTTCTGGGACCCCTGACAATGGCTCCTCTGTATATTTTGGGGTTCATTTACCACCATTAAAACAATGGGGTTTAATATGGTTGTGGGTCAAAACCAATGGTACCATTTTGGGGTAGGTGCACCACCTATTTTAGTTTATTTTAGTGGTTGGATTGGTATGTTCACTGGGGGTACGATTTGGCTTTTGACCCATGGCCATAGAACCACCATTGTTTGAAACAATGGGGCTTAATAAAACCACCATTATTTGCCTAGGGATGTGCATCATCCAAATTGGATCCTTGCCATCCTTTTGCTGGGGTCAAGGAACCCCGGGGTATAGCATGGCTCCATGTGAGCAGCGCCCAACACCGATTCCCATTGGCCTTTCGTAGCAGGTGGTTCTACCTGGTCTTGTGGTGGTTACAGTGAGGCCTATAAGACTTGATCATTGTCTTGGCAGAACCACAAGTCAATTGGGTGCTGGGCTGAATAGTATGGGTTGACTAACTGACTAACATAGAATAGAACTCCACAAAGCATCCGCCGTAAGGAGATTGATTTAAGCACTGCCGGATCCTTCTTTGGCTCACAGTCAGCTTGCAATTGAAGCATGGACCACGGTAGCCGGTTGTTGGGACTACAAAACCTCTCCTGTATTCCAACTGCTGGTCAGCCTTGGGTTCTATTTTTTTTCATTTGGGGATGACCAGAGAGTGCAGATTCATTCCGAATCAACCGCACAGCGCCCTGCTGCGAAGAATATGTGAGTTGGGAACTCTAGGTGTGTCCATAAAAAATAACGCAACCCACACAAAAAACGTGTTTTTTTGCGGGTTTCCTATTTGGACAGCCCCAAAACTGGTAGACGTTGGCAGAAGTTGAAAGTTTCCTTGGTACCAACCTAGATCGCCAGTTGCTTCTTTTTCCTAGCGACTGTGACTGTTAGGGCAAAGTGCCTGGACAAAAGCAGCAACTCGGCGATCCATGAATGTGGAAGATAGGAGTTTTATGACAAACGTCAAGCCCCATGAAAACGATTGCACAGGACAAGTCAGTTTGTGTGGTGTGTGTGTGTGGGTGTTTTATGTGTGTGTGTGTGGGTGTTTTATGTGTGTGTGTGTGTTCCTTTTGCCCATGTGATGTTCGGCCCCTGAGATCGCCGAAAAAATCAGACGCGTTCGCGGCCATGTGCTGCTGAGCCGGCCATGTGGCGCCTGCTTCTGGCTGGGGGCCCTAAGGCCCTGTCAACCTCAGCGTGGCGCTAGATAGCTATTGGGGTTGCTAGGTCCCCCAGCTAGGTGCCCTTTCTCACCCGTTTCTTTTTGGGGGAGGGTTCCCCTAGTAAAATGGACTACAGAAAAAGTTGGTAGCCTTATTCTAGGACCTAGGGTTGGATCTTTAGACCTTAACTTTTTGCTTGAAATCTGTGGGGGGTTTCCTCCAAAATGATACCCCATGAGCAGTTCATGTTGCCTTTTTTTGGTGGCTTTTGGCGGTACGTGGGATGTGGGTGTCCTGTTCCCTACCAATTGTTTGGCCCAATTTAAAGTGGGGATCCTTTGGGTGATGTTTGCAGGTCAATATAGTGGTGGCAGGATCATTTTGAAACAACCCCGCCAAGAGCCCAATCATTTTTGAGGGTTGGAGACAACACCAGGACTGACTTCCACCCGGTTTTCGGCGGTAACATAAACCAAACGGGGTGCCGCCCGTCAGGTGTCTCCTAGTCTGTCACAGTTCCCTTCTGCGCTTTATCGGCTTAACCAGAGCCGGCGCAGTCTCCACGCAAAGCATCTGGATAAACCTTCCGTATCTTCATTTGAGGGAACCCGCGTGCATTTTTTGCCCGCCTGCTGCGCGTGGTTGGGCGCAGCCTTGCACTTTGACAAACCGAAATGAAGGACAAGAGGAACAAGCTTCAACTTTGACATGCATGTGCACACTTTTCGTGTGTACGCGCAATTGCCGCCATTTGCGCGATGGTACCAGACATTTGCGCGCAAGTTGCGAGCTGGCAGGGCGCCAACAAATCGACTAAATTTCCCTGACAAAAACTTGTCTCAACAAAAAGTGCGGCGCAGGTACAGTCCTTGATCAGACTGTGGATGTGTGCAAACCCAGGCAATGCTTGCAGGCTTAGAGCTACTGATGGAGGTTGGAGCCAGCCAAGGGTTGCAAAATCAGTGGCCACAAAGTGTCAAGTCCAGGTGATACTTGTGACTGGTGCCACAAGTGCAACAAAATCTGCCTAAACCAGGCCTGGGTTGGGACACAAGCAGAGCTAGTTAAGATGTAAACATAAGATACTTCAACAAACAGTTGCGCCGGCGCGGAAACAGGCGCGCAGTATCGATTGTTTCACAAGCAATGCCGAATTTGACTGCCTGAGTAGTTTCATCCGAAAAGTGCGCAAATCCCTCAAAAGTGTGCACATTCCAAAAAAGCTTGCAAGCACACCACAAAAACGCGCAAACCAGCATTTGAGCAGCAAAAAGTGCGCAAACGAAGATACATGTATACCAAGCTTTTCAGTAGCCAGCCCATGATGAAGGTCCCTCTCTTCGGACTTCCTGAATTCTGAAGCATGGCAATTCGCTGGTTCCTACATGGACCCTCATTTTCAATTCCACCGATGGGGTGATTCAATAGATCAGCTTCGATTGGCCCAAAGGAATGGGGAGATTCCACCTTTTTTTGTTTCCCTCATTTTCAATTCCCCTAAATTTGAAGCAAATATTTTTGTTTCTCAAACAAAACAACACCCAGGTCCCCCGATTTTGGGGGCACGCGCCGCGACGCGGCGAGGTGCCGCCTTCGGTGCTTGCCTGGCAGGCGAATGTGGCGCATTTTTTGTGTGTGGCGGGGCTGCTGGGTCGGCTTCTTCCTTTTTGTGAGGCCCCCCCCTTTCTTGAGAAACCAAAGGGAAACCAAAGGTTTGAAGGCTTCTTTGGGGGGTGGGGGGGGGGGTTGGCTCATCATTGAAATGGGCTTCCTCCCAGAGTAGCATTCGGGTGACACCGAAGGTTGCCCATTCCATTTTTTGGAGTGGCCCTATTTTGACACATACCCCCGATTATCATACTATTCTATGTCCCAAACATGGATTTTGATGAACCCCCATTTTCAAGTGGTGTGTTGGTCCAGCAAATATTGGCCGTTGCTCGGGTGAGTTTGGTTGTATATACACCGCTCTCGTTTCTTTTGTTTTCGCATCGTTTACCAGTATCCATTTGCCCAAATGGACAAGGGCCGGACATGGGATCCCCATATCGGTCCCTCCCCCCATATCCCAAGCCGGGCCAAACAAGAAACCGGCGGTTCAAAGGCGGTGGTGTTGGGCTCCTGAGATTTCGAGGTTTGTTCGTTCGACTGCAATGCCTGAGCACAGACAATAAATTATTGTTGCGCGGCAGTCCTGCGTCAGTGGCAGTCCTCTTCCGTCCGATGTATTTCTCTCCGATTCTTTCCTATAGTTGATTTGTCGATTTGCTCTATTCCGAGATTGAGTTTTGCTGGTCTGTTGGGATTGCGCTGTGCTTGTTTATTGTGGGGATAGGGTTCTAGGGCCAATGTTTCTGTGATACCAAGGAACCTGGCATCTAAATTTATAATGTGCTGTGGTCATGGGTATGGCCCACACAGAAGGGGCTATTTCCCACAGCCATTTTCTTGCTTGCCAACATCCAAGAGATTGCAAGCTCCTTGCGTGGGACAGTTTGCCTTGGACCTCTTTGGACCCGCAGACAAGTACATTGAATTTGGGGTGCCGCATCAATCTCAGCTGGAGCGCGGCTTTTGTTCGCTATGTTCGCTCACAAGGTGGGGGTGCACAAATTGCCCGCAACTCGCAAAAGGTCAACTTAAGTGCAACACATCGCAGCTGTCATGTTGCGCTACCCCATGCGCCGACGGTTTTTACCCTAAGACAAGCTTCCCGCTTCCCGGCTCCCGCTGCCCGCTGGCGCGAAGCGGAGCTTGAGGCAGCCAAGGCTGCGCTGGACTCAGCAGAGGCTTTGATGGCCTGGAGCTGAGGAGCAGAGATGCGGAGTCTTGAATTCGGCGGGGAAGGTTTTTTTAGTTTCTTTCGTTTCCTTATTTTTTCCCGGTGGGAAACCAAATCGACCGTTTTTGATTAAAGAGCATAAGAAAGAAGACGAGCTGATGTCTTTTTGTTCTGTTGTGGCGTGGGAAGTTTTAAGGGAAGCCAAAGGCCAGCCAAAGGAAGCCCTCCTTGATGTTTTGAGATGTTGAGAAACAAATGCAACGTGTAATCAGTACTGTGGTCTCAATTGAAGTTGATGATTGAATCTGGGCAAATCTTATGTGTTAAGAAACAAATGCAACATGTAGTCAGTGCCGTGGTCTCAAATGTTAATTTCGACTTCACGTTTTTTTTTTTTTTGTGGCCGCAAACCTCTGAAGGTTTTCCGTTTCTTTGTTTGACCGTGAGAAGAAATCGGAGGCGAAACCTGCAAGCTGGACTGGGCATGTTTAATTTGTAGTGGCCGTGGCATCTTGCGGGTGCTTCGGAGGACATGTTTTTTTTTTGGTTGTTTGTTTGTTTGTTTTTGTATTTGTGTTTGCTTGTTTGTGCGTTTTGAGGGTACCCTTGTTGGTTGGCAGACAGCAGGAAACCACCATTGTTTTTTGGGGACCCCCTATTTTGACACCCGAATATCTATTGGCCTGCATGCTGCGGGAGCTTGAGTTTCAAGCTCTCGGGTAAGCTGCAGCAAAGAATCCGCTGGCTGGAAAGCTGCGTGGACTCAAACCAACTAGATGGACACCTGAGCCCAAGACAGGCAAGTGCAGCTTGCAGGAGATTCCAAGTTCTGTCCTTGCCAGGCTGAGGGAATCGGCTGTATCGATCGGTAAGATTGGGCTCTTAGGTCAGATGCGGCAAGCCTTCTTCGTACGTAGTTCTTCAGCTTCTCAGCTGAGTTTCCGAAAGTTTGGATGGACAGGTTGAGGGCCTCTTCTCGTGGGACTACCTAATGTTGACCCCCGGTATATTTTGTTAACCCGTCCTCTTAATAGGGGGGGTGTCCCCCTCCAAAAGTGATGCACCCCCGCTAAACTAGGAACAACCCCATTTCACAAACTGGGGTTTATTAGTCCAGCGTTTCCAGTACACTGTCAACATATAGCTCCACCAACAGCAATATATAAATAATAGTAACAAACCATCAATAAATACATTAATGGGAAAACACAAAAACAACCTCCACCCCTAATCGTGGCTTTCCTTTCAATCCGAGCTGGAAACGGGTACTCCTTAAGACACTTGCTTACTAAATATATATATATATATATATATATATACACGGGGGTGTTTCAAAGCATAGGCCCCCTTTTTTGGATGTCTTTCAAGTATGTCAGCTCAAGAAGCACGCTGTTTGGGTCTATACCGTTGTGGGGAGGACATGTGACAACCCAATCCCACCAAAAATCAGGGGACGTGTCTCCCATTGTCCATGTCTTGGGAAGCAAATGACGTGGGGCTAGTGGGGTTTCAAGCCTCCAAGGCTGCGTTCGGTTTTTTTTGTCGCGCTCAAGGTGCAGGGGAACCTGGAGCCGGCCATGCAGAAGCCGCCCTGGGGAGAGAGGGGGGGGGGGGGCTGGCTGGTTTCCTTCGATTTCCCCGGTTTCGGGTTGCTTGAACATCAACGTGCAACACATCCTTTTAGATGGATGGAACAGAAACGGATTTCTTTCTGGTCGGGTAGATTTCTGAATGACTCTGGTTGCGGTTTGCAAGCTTTGATTCTGGCGGAATCAAACAGTCTCAATCAGTTTGTTTCGGTTGAAAATGCACGGATTCCACGAGTCTCTTTGAGTCTGGGTGTTTCCGTTTGGTTGCAACTCATGCAACTCCTCAGACACTCATTGACATGGAGCGGATCCCAGGAACTTGACTACCATGTGAAACGTTCGCAGCGCGAGCCACAGCCGAAACAGGACCTTTGCATGACCTGAGAGATCGCTGGCTCGGTTTTTGTACCAAAAAGACCATGGGAAACTTTTCAGTCGTGTCGTTTTTGGTGGTTCCCCAAATCTCCGAATCTTTCAGAGCCCGTGTTTTCAGTGCCAATTTGAGCATCCGTCGTTTGGATGCTCAGCAAATTCGGGTGACCGTTTCCTCTAGCCGGGTATCTTTGGATAATTGGGGAGGTCCATTCCGTTTCTGCTGTGGCCTTTGATATACAGCCGGTGCCGGCTTCGAAGTCTTTGGGTCAATCGCATTGACCCGGAATCGCCAAATGTAAGGGTAAGGCGCGGGTGGCATAGAGTTGGCAGGGGAGCTTGCGAGGCTTCTTTTTTTACCCAGATCTTTCATCTCAGGGTAAAGCAATGTTCCGTGATGGGTGAATGATTCGGGGGTTCCTGCCGGCAATGAACCCAGTACTCATGTAAGTCAACCCACTTTCTTGCAAATCCTGCTGTGCGTGTGTGTGTCCATTCTTTGTGTGTGTGTGTGTGTGTGTGTCCATTCTTTGTGTGTGTGCGTGCGTGCGTGCGTGCGTGCGCGTTTGTGTGTCCATTCTCTCTGCGTGCGTGTTTGGATTTGAGAAAAGCGGTGATGTTGGGTCAACACGCTCTACATCATACATTCATAGAAGGACTCAAAGGGTATGGAGATCTACCCTCCCGAAACCGAGCCTAGCCCATTGTATTTTTTTTCAGCATGGCTGAGGGGTTAAAGCAGGAAGATTTGGCACCTACCACCTACCAGGTTACCAACTGCTAAGTGGATTTGGTTTATTCGTGGAGCCACACCGTGGCGGGCATAGGTGTCCTTTTTGGTTGTTTCGCCAGCAAAATAGAGGGCGATTCCTGGTTACCCTGGTATTTACCTGGCTTTTTTTTTTCTCCTCTACCAGGGAAACCCAAATCTACTTCCCCCTAAAAGGACACCTATGGTGACGGGGTGTTTGTTTTCGAAGCGAAGGACAGCGCCTTCGATTCCTGGAGGTACTTTGAGGCCTGCAAGACCCGGCGGGCGCTGCAGGCATGGGCATGCTCCGGATGGGCGTCCCAGGAAATTCCTCTTACTCTGTCTGCAGGTGGGCATGGGTCAAAATGTTCAAGCACCAGGAAATGGACCGCAGGTGTTGGTCCATGTTTCCACTTACTAGGGTTCCAGTTGAGTTGGGGTACCTATGTTTGACAACCACGGCCAGGGAATCAGTCTGCACCTTCTAGGTGTTGCATCATCAGTTGGTTTTTTCTCCCCAGGTTTTGCAGGATGGTTTCCTCTTACCTGCTGTGGGAACTGGAAGCATCGAATTAGTGGAAACCCCACGACGTGGATTCAGTTTTGAATGGGTTGGCCCAAGCGGTCGCTGACAGCTTCCTACTCCCCTCTTGAGACTTTGCTCAACCCTGGATGCGTTCCAACAACCAGTCCAGTTTCCCTAGGAGCCCAAGGCCTCATTACTTGAGGCCTGTTCGGGATGAAAGTTCCTCATATTCAGGGTCTTGGGCTTCCAAGGTTTTGCGAAAGAGACGCCCTGGTTCAAAAGATGCCGGATTACCATCCCGAGGCCGGCTCACGATTTAAAGCATCACCCGCTCTGCTGGTCAAGTAGGTTCAAAATCCGTCGAACCGGGGCCGTTTCCTTTGCTTTCGCTTGGCAACCCAAATGGTAACCTGAACACAGGCACACCCGTTTCTTGCTGGAGCGATAGGCAGGGAATGAGAAATGGAATGACCCTTATAAACCAGCCAACTAGTGGTTTCCTTTCAGGGACCAAACTTACGCGAGTACCAACCATCATGTTCCTTTGCCGAAGTTCCCTTGACTACCTACTATAGCAGTTAGAATTGCATCTGCGACTTCCTTCAAAGACGAGACACTTGCAAGCCCAAGCAAACGTGCATTCTAAGAAGCTCTGCTGATTTTCAGCAGCCCCAAAATCACGCGCGACTCTCGACGCCTCGACAACTGCAGAACGTCCGACGACTGCTGACAAAGATGATGCCAAATGCCAAATCTGATGGCACAAAGGCCCAACACAGCTTCAAAACCAATGGAATCAAAAAAGCAGCTTCAAAACCAACGGAATCACAAGCTTCGCGATGTTTGCTGAAGCGAGCGATCGGGCGAGCAGTTTAATCAATCTCCGGAAGGAAGCCACAAAAATGGGTCTCCTCCAAGCTATGTTCATTTCAGGGAGGACGAACCACAGAATCAGGGCATACATATTTCTTTTTGATTATCCTTAGCGCCTTCCAGATGTTTTCTTGCTTGCTATTGGGGTGGATCTTTAGACTTCAACTTTTTGAAAAATAAAGGTGTTTTCCACCAACCCCTCCCCCCCTAAGTTAGACTTTTTGCAGGGGGTCGTTACAGCAACCAGGCCTTTTTCTGTCCCAAGGACGTCCAAAGGATCGGAGGCTTTTCTGGAGATTCCGCAGGGCTCCTTAAAAGATCTCCATTTTGCCACCATTTGAAACATGATGCTTTTTCAACACCAAAATAAAGGTTGAAACCACCATCAAGGCAATGTTCAGGTGTATAATGTAAGCAGCATTTCATTATTGAAGGGATCACCACTTCAAGATTAGAGTAAGGTGGTAATATAGGTACAGGGAATAATATAGGAAATAATCTAGGAAACGGTTTAGGAAATTATGGAACCAGTGGATCCCTGTTCCGAGAAGCGCCCAGGAGGAGACGCCTCCGGATCACCCGCTGCTCCTCCCCGGGGACGGCTCCTTCCGCCGCGCCGGGCGGCAGAAGCTGCGGCGGGGGCTCGGCTCGCTCGGCGCATTTTGGCGCTTGGGAGGTGGCTGTGGCTCAAAGAACCGGAATCCCAAAATGGGTTTGTTTCCGGTAAGTGGAATGGACCAAGACCTGCGGTTTGCCCCTCCTGTTTCATTTGGGCCACACCCAGGTAGGGGTGGCCCGCGCTGGGGTCGAAATGGATGGTTGCGACGGGGTCATAGGTGTCCGTTTTGGTGGGTTTTGGTGGAAAAATAGAGGGCGATTCCTGGTTTACCTGGCGGTTTTTTGTCATCTACCAGGGAAACCCATCTATGTCCCCTAAAAGGACACCTATGCCTGGGGTGCTGTGGATGGTTGCGACGTCCGCTTCTCGCGCCGCCGCAAGTTCAGATTCAGACACCCTGGTTTCTGGTCGTTCCACTGTAGATACCCCTAGCTCCCCCAGCAATTGGTGCCCTTTGACCGTTTCTTTTAGTAGGGGAGGGCAAGCCCCTACTAAAATAGACTACAGAAAAAAAGTTGGTACCCTTATTCTACCCTCTCCACTGGAGGACCTAGATACCCCATCAAACGTTCTGGTTTCATCCCATGGTTTCATAAACTGTGGGTGTGAGAAGCGGATTTCGCGTTGCCATTCACATTATGGTCCAAGGACGCCCCAGGCGGCTACCCTCACTTCCACTGCACCTAACAAGGGGTCCCTGCAATGATCTTCCAGGTACTCGGTGCTTTCTTCAAAGAAGGGTGGTGATTTCCTTGTTTGTTGTTTTGTTTTTGACACCATGTTCGAAAGGTGGCCCATTTTGAGAAGCACCCGGGTAGGGTGGGTGCTACCTGGTCTGTCAAGGGGATTTTGCTCGGGGTACCCCCCAAATTGGGTTTGCCTTTTGGGATTTCGTCAAAAGCCAACCAACCAACAAGGGTGCCGAACCTCCAAAAGAACACAGAGAGACCTCCTCCCCCGCTCTTCTGGGTGGTGTGCGTTCGGTTTTTGTTGTAGGACCACACCAAACCTTGATGGCTCCCAGCCATCCCCTTAGCTTTTTAGTTTTTTAGTGTTTAGTAGGGATTTCCATTTAATCCACTAAAAGTTAAACTCTTAGCGGGGGATCTGAGGACAGCCCAGCAAAAGGCGACCAACTCCACAAGGGTACCCTCCAACAAAGCATGCCCAGGATTGGTTGGGCAAATCTTGGCCAGAGGGTCCGCGTAGAGCGCCCAGGACTCGACAAGATCCACATCGACCCATTTTGTTGTTTTTCCTTTCGGTCTCCCCCTAAGCCACTTGGAAAAGCCAACTACTCCCTGAGTTCCTGGACTTCAAACGGAAGACGATTTAGTGAATCAAAGGCTCGGACTCTTTTTTTTGGGGGGGGCCAAAGTTTCCTCCAATGAAAAACACCAATGTTTTCCCATTCTTTCTCAGATGTTAAGGAGTTAAGGAGTGTCGCAAAAGCTGCACTTCAGATGGGTGCAACCTTAGAGGGGCGTCGTGTCCAAAGGAGTCCCCTTTCGGTCGAGTCCATCCTTCTAGTGCTACCTTCCCCATTCTTTCCAGGGATCCGAATCTTTCTAGAAAACCTCCGGAAACCCTGGTTGAAAACGGATCCGGTTTTTGGAAAGAACTTTGGTTGGAAAGAATGGACAAGGAATCCACCAGAAAAAAGCTCACCAAGGACACACCCTGGGGGTCTCCTCCAAAACTAGCTTGCGCCGGGGGGTTCAGTTACCACTAAAATCCTTAGAATCAAACCCTCCCGCTTGCCTTTGGACCAAAGTGAAGTTGACAAACCATAGAATGCTGTCTGTCACAGGCACGATGCGGAGCAGCTGGAGCACCTGGTGCAGCTGCAGCTGCTCCCCGCGCGGCCTTTTTCACAGGCGAGGGGAAAGCCGACCGTGGGGATGTGAGGGGGATGGGTGGGGGGGAGGGGAGGGGGGAGGGTGTCAGGTTTTTGTGTTTGTGTGTTTTTTTGTTTGGTGTTGTTGCCTCTTTTTTTGGGGGCGAAGCTGGACAAATACGTTGTTTGTTTGTGTGTCTTTTTAGGGGACCCCCAAAACTGGGGTTGGTCGAGAAGCGTTCTTTGGTGGTTTGTTGAGTTGCTGAGGCTCGGCAACACAATCATGGGGTTGGTTGAAAGGGAAGCCAACAAAAAAGATCAGCCTGACGTAAGCCCTATTTGGACATTCTTTTGGGGGCAGAATCAAAACAAAACACTTTATGATGATCGCCATTCAAAGAGTAGTTCCTTCACAATGTTTGATGATCTTGCAATAGGGATTTTGATAGTAGAGGCAGACCAAATGGAGGCTAGGTCTAACATAATATGGGTCCTCTACTGAAAGAGTGAAACGGTTGGCAAGAATACAGAGCCATGTGGAGTGGGTTCAACATGCTGGCGGCCTTTAGTTCCTAGTTGTTTTTCTGCAATGTGCACCTTGCACATTGCAAGCTGTGAACAATGGCATTGCTTCACAGCGAGCCTGCATTCATGATTGGAGGAGTGTGGTGCAAGTGCGCTTTCTTCCCGGCTTTCACAGGGCTCAACATGGCAACATTTGGCCCATTGGGGGACCAAGACATCTATGGTGTCCCGCGAGCTCGCGACTCCACGCTTTTCATCCGTGCCACATAGCCCAAAATGAATCCAACAGGGGATGGGCCTGGCCAATTGTTTAATTTTGCCAGACCCTCTATTTAACAATTCAACAGGGATGCTTTTGAGACTGAGCTGGGCGGGAAACGGTTGCCACCCGCTTCACCTTTTGAAGGACTTGCCACTGCCGGAGGTGCCCCTCCGCTGTTATCGGGAGCCCTGGCTATGGCAACAAATTTGTGTGGGGTAATTTAAACCCACATGAATGACCACAGGAGAGCATATTTCATATTAGTACTCTACCCAGACACCCAGTGGCTTGCTTCCCTCTCCCAGCTGTTTTCGGGGTGCCTTTGAAGCAACAAACAGGTGCATCTCTCCTTCTTTCCCCAAGATTTCCCTTCAAAGCTTCCAAGTCGCTGCCTTTCGCCCCTTTGGCAGGTGGCCCACGTCTTCCGTCAGGCGGGCGACTTTTGGGTCCATGGGCCCCCAGGAGCCAAAGCCGGTTCAAAAGGCAGAGGTGGGGTCGACTTGTGCCATGTGGCGCGGTTTTTTGAGATGACATTTGACTTACCTCTTAAAAAACACGAAACTTTTCGTAACTTCTTGGGTAACATGGGCTATATGTCTGTAAAAGATTAACTTCCCCAGGGCTTGGAGTTTTGAGGGGTAAGTTGAGAGCCTAGCGCCTGAGTTGTCTCCGGTTGCAGCCCATCCAGAAGATGGGCAGTTTCCCGTTGGCCCCCAAAAACACACCCACAAACAGCCCAGGCAAAGAGAAGAGAGAGACGGATTCAGCTGTGATTTGCTGAAGCTTGGGGTTTCTTGTGTGACAGGTGGTTCACCCTCTATCAGGCTTAAAGGTAGGTATAGTGATGGCACACAAGTGATGGAGATAGGGAAGTGCAGAGGTTTGAGGCCTGCAAGTCGACAGCTATGTGCACAGACACCTTTTTTGTTACTCAAACACAACCAGCCAAAAGGGAGAACGTAGAATAAGCACTTTCTTGCGGTGTCCAATGTCAAATTGCTATCAGTTGTTGAGAGTTGGAACCACCTCAAAAGAGGTTGGTGGCCATGAATCCCGATCCAATGTTGATGTCCACCAAACGGTCCCCCAACATTTACACCCAGATTTCGTCAGCATTGTCCAAGAGCTGTTTTTTTTTTTTTGTTTTTTTCCCGTGTGATGGAACAGCTGGCTGCTTTGGCCATTTTTCCTCAAATATCAGCACCTAGATTTGATGTCCACTAAAGGGTGCCATTACACCATTCTAGGGGTTGATTCCCCATTCTGTTTAACCATCGTTCTTTCAAAAACCAGCTGTGTCCCCAGAAATTTTGGTGGTTTTTAGAAAGAAGGATCCCTGGAAAGAATGGAAATGGAAGGTATCCCTAGAACCATGGTGATCCAGGCTTTACGACCCTTGGTGACCCAGGTTTACCATGGTGCCATGCTATCAGCGCTTAGGCTATTTGGCTATGGGTCAAAAAAAACGGAATTCCAAAATGGGTTGCCCTGGTAAGTGGAATGGACCAAAACCTGCGGTTCCCTCCTGTTTAATTTTGAGCCACACCCACTTAGTTTCTACTATTCCCCTCTTTTCTACCAACAAACAGTGAGAGACGCCCATTTCCAAGAAACAGGTGGTTTCTTATGTAACAGGTGGTTCACCCTCTATCAGTTAATGTTTGAGCCGAGAAATATGGCATATGTCCAACAAACATTTAAATACCAACAAACAGCGAGAAACCTGTTCCCCTCTAAATACCAGAAACCCATTTCCAAGAAACGTGGACCGTTAAAATCCTTGAGCCACACCCATCTTCAGGTGCTCGAGCAGCTGCCGGAGGACCTGGCGGTCGTGGATGTGGGTGTGCGGCACTGAGCTCCGAGGGCATGCGCAAAACTGCGCCGAGGTGTTCGCCAGGGAAAGCCCTATGAATTTGGTTGATTCATGGGGAGAGTGTTTTTGTTGTTGTGAAGGTTCATCAGTTTTGGTTGATTAAAATAGGGAGAGTGTTTTTGTTTGGTGAAGAGCTCCCTATTAATTTGGTTGATTAAAATAGGGGGAGTGTTTTTGTTTGGTGAGGTAATCCCCTACGTATTGATTTGGTTGATGACTAGGGGGAGTGTTTTTTTGGTGAAGGTTCATCAGTTTTGGAAGGAACACCCCCCCGAATAGTAGACGGGCTGATGAAGTTCGGGGTCAGCATTGGGGCTGGGTAGATTCAGAGCAGAATGGCGTATTCTGGTCAATGGTCTTGTGAATCCCGTGAGCGACAAGCAGCGGTGGCGCTTTTATCCCGGTCACAACCTAGCACTTCCAAAAAAATGTTTGGTCATTTTGGGCCCAAGTTGCCGCAGACAGGTCCATAGGGACCTTTTACAACCCGCCAAAAGGCGGGTTGCTTTGCAAGGTCCTGCCTTACCCCCAGCTTGTGGAGCCCTTGGCTTCGCTCCTCTCCGGCGCCTTCCCGGCGCCTTTCCCGGGGCCTTGAGGCTGGGGTCAGCAAAGCCATGGACCGCATCTACAACCGCGCGGTGTACCTGACGCACCCTGGCCAGGGCTCCGAGTGAGCGGAGAGATGACGAAAGAAGTCGCAGGAAAGCCGGCACACAAGCCACGGGGCCCCCAAAAAACCGTAGGCCTTTCAAACGAAAACGCAGGTTCCATGTTTTTTTCCCCGCAATTTGGTTGTTTTGAAGGATCTCCAGAAACAATCCTCCAAAAGTGGTGTCCCAAATTTGCGGGCCTCTTTCGAATGGTGTCAGAAAAAAGATGGAGGGTCCCAGGCTACTCCCGACCCCCGTTTTGGTTTCGTTCCTATTTTTGGAACCTTTGGTGTTCCAAAGCTTCAGGGCCCGGGCCTCGATTTTTCTTTCGGTAACTGGAGCTTTAGGGCCTGGGCAAGGCTTCCAGTTGCCATGTGCGGAACCAGCTTGGTGACCTACCCTATTGCTAACTGACCGCTGGCTCCAGGAGCCACAGAAGGGTCCGACACCGTGAAATGGGGGCCGTGAAAAAGACGCCCCGGAACCGGGGAAAAGAGGCCCGGCGCCGTTAAAACCGTTAGACAGGAATCTGGTTCCCACTTTTTTGTGAACCAAGCCTGGTTCCTAAAAAGACAGTCGCCAGTGGCCAGTTACTAGCTATGCGGGTTACTAGGAGTCGCTGGGTAGATTAACATGGATGGCACCATTGGTAAGTGCGGGGGATGACTGAAACATCTGAGCCACACTCAAACCTGATGAAGCTAAGTAGCAGTGTCTAAATTCTGTTCATTGGGTATACACCATGTTCATGCCAGGATTGGATTCTGAATCTGGGATTTGTGCCAACTTCGCGCCTTGCCTTCAGCACCGAGGGCGCTTGCCTGGCCCGGCCTTGGCGTTGAGCGCGGCGGAGGCCGAAGCTTTGCGGGGCCGCTTTCGGGCGAGCGAGCTGCCGGCGGAGGTGCGGCGACTTGGGCGACTTGGGCGATCGGCGCGTGTTCTTGAAACGGGGGCCAGGGGAAATTTATGGTTTTCGGGGACGCCCGAAATGGTCATGGTGCTTTTGGTTTCCCTGCAACACCCACCGAAAAAGGGGTAATGATGACCGGTGGTGACCCCATATTCATCAACCAACCAGTGTATTATTAGGGGGTGGCTTTGGCCCCCCCAAAAGTGGTCTCATTCCCCCTAAACTGGGTTTGAGAAAAATATGGGGTTTAACATATCCTTGAAATGGACAAGCAACACTTGACAAAGCAACATTTGGGTGTGTGTTGTTAACGGGACCCTCCCAAAATGGTGGCTTTTCTTTTGGTTTTCCTTTGAAACCACTCCAAAAGGGGCACCCCCAAAAAAGACGGACCCATTTACTTTGCACAAGTTCAAGGCGTGCCGTTTTTGAAGGTATTTTTTTTGGAAGGAATCCAAGGGACCCCCCGCCCCGAACCTCCCCCTCCCCCTCCCCCCCTTTGTGGAGTAACGCTCTGCCGTCGCCCTTCTGTTATGCCCTTATGTTCGGGTGGTTTCGGACCGGCTTGTGGCTCATTTCCCAAAAAGGTCAAGGTTCCGGAAGCGGCCGGCCGCGTGCCGTTAGATATTCTGGGTGCTCGAGATGTGCATTCGATGTCCCTTCTTTTACCCAGCCGTTTCCACGGATAGACGGACGGCGGCGCAAATCGGTTCCAGGCCTCTGGCTGCGAAGCGCAGAACGGCGTGCCTCGGCGATGTAGGTTCAGCTGAGCCCCAAATCGCAAGAGTGATATAGGGAGACGAGATATGGGGTGGGGTAGGGATTTGGAGCCCCGAAATCCTTTGGGTTCCTTACTAAGCTTCCTGAAGCAAGGGCACACTCAGCAAACCCATCATATGAATCATATTCACAACATATCATGCGCGCAGGCTCGCTCGTTCCCGGAGAAGTTTGGACCTGGAAGCACGTTCGTCCGCCCAAATAGTATTTTTGGGCACTTGTGTCATAA